TAAATTTTAGCTAAAAGTAAAATGTAGCAACAATCTAGCTATAAGCTAAATATAGCAACAGAGCAGTTTCAAGCTAAAAGTAGCTAAATTCTAGTTAAAAGCTAAATATGGCAATAATCTAACAGCAAAATCTAGCAACATGCTAGCTTAAAGCTAAAAGCAGCAGAACTGGCTGGGTAAAAGAATAAAGTACCAAAATGTTAGTTAGAACAGCAAAAAGCTAGCTAAAAAAACAAAAGTAGCTGAAGATTGATTTAAAAAACTTTATTTATAAATTTATAAAGATCTAAAACCTGCAGGATAGTGGATCAGGACCAGGATCGAGCACCACGGCTCCATAAAGTTCTTGAGTCTGTTGAGCCGAGGCGATTTTATGTTAAATTTTTTTTAATTAACCGTTTCAGACGAGGGCGAGAGCTTCAACCCCCTGAAGATAGACGTCTTCCTGCAGACTCTTCTCCACCTGGCAGCCAAATCTTTCAGCCACTCCTTCAGCGCCCTCGCCAAGTGAGTTTAACGCCTAAAAACCGCCGCCTTTCCTGTCGCAGTTTAAGACGAAGATCATCTCGTGATGATCGGCTGTCGATCCTGGAGTTTTCATYAAATTCAGTTTACTGGTTTTTAGAAACAAATAAAATGACACTTTAGTTTTGTTTTGACTCGAGTTTAAGTTTGTTGATCTCGGTCTGATTCTTGATATTTGGTTCAAACTACTTAYAGAATTACAACAAATAAGAGTCAAGGACGCTCTGTGGAAATTATTTTTCCCACGGTTGTAAGAAAAGACTGGTGTCTCTTATTTATTTATATTTAATTTTTTTATCTTACCGCTCTAGTATTGAAGATTTTATGGCTTTTTCCTTCATCGGCATAAGTTTATTTTATTTTATTTATGGATGTGGTGTCTGACAGCTACTGTGTAATTGGTCAGATATATAAAGTGGGCGGGGCTAATGTGGAAAACAGTAAGTAAGGGCTCCTCGGTTGAGTCTGAAACGTTCTGAGCAGAACTTTGAGAAAAGGAGGAATGTTTTTTCTGGGACGTTTCTCGTTCAGGATTCACACTGGCGTTTCTTTTCGTTTCCAGATTCCACGAGATCCTGAAGACTCTGACGGACAGCGACGACGGGAAGCTGCACATCCTGAAAGTGGTGTACGAAGTKTGGAGGAAGCACCCGCAGGTCCGAAGCACCACACGAACACCTGCGCTCTGAACGCTCAGGTAAATGTTTGCAGGTGTTTGATGTTTTTGTGTTTTTCAGATGATCGCAGTGTTGGTGGACAAAATGATCCGGACGCAGATCGTGGACTGCGCCGCCGTGGCCAACTGGCTCTTCTCTCAGGACATGGCCCACGAGTTCACCAGGTGAGCCGAGCGTCTCGAACGCCTCTCGTCTCCTACGTTTCTGAGAACTGAACCCACTCTGTGCCTCGTTCAGACTTTTCGTCTGGGAGATCCTGCACTCCACCATCCGGAAGATGAACAAACATGTCCAGAAGATCCAGAAGGAGCTGGAGGAGTCCAAAGACAAGCTGGAGAAGCAGCAGCACAAGAGGGTGAGCAGCAAGGTTATAATAGTTTTAGATTTTTTTATGGCTTTTATTTTGTTGTGACTTTTTTCTTTTAATTCAGTTGGTTTAAATTAGTTTTTACAGTGGATTTGCTAGTTTTTATTAATTATTATTGTATTTTTAATGCTTA